AGTGTTGGCCACCTGTAGTCCCAGCTACCTTGGGAGGCTGAGGCAGGAGAATGGCATGAATCCAAGGAGTGGAGCTTGCAGTGAGCAGAGATCCGCACCATGGCACTCCAGTCTGGGAAACAGAAGCGAGAGTCCATCTCAAAAAAAAAAAAAAAAAAAAAGAAGAAAAAATGAACTCACATAAAGTGACACTTCCTGGGCCAGGTGGCGGTGGCTCATGCCTGTAATCCCAGGACTTTGGGAGGACGAGGTCAGGCATGAAAACCAGCTTGGCTAACATGATGAAACCCTATCTTCTACTAAAAATACAAAATTAGCCACCAGGCGTGTGGTGGACACCTGTAATCCATCTACTTGTGGAGACCTGAGGGAGGAGAATCGCTTTGAACCTGGGGAGGTGGAGGGTTCCAGAGAGCCAGGATGGCACTATTGCACTCCATCCTGGGGCAACAAACAGTGAACCTCCATCCTCAAAACAAACAACAACAAACAATAAATAAATAGAGAGAGGGCGGAGCAAGATGGCCGAATAGGAACAGCTCCAGTCTCCAACTCCCAGCGCGAGCGACACAGAACACCGATGATTTCTGCATTTTCAACTGAGGTACTGGGTTCATCTCACTGGGAAGTGCTGGAGGATGGGTGCTGGGTCAGCTCTGGCAGGCCCGACAAGCTAGAGCTGAACGCGGGCGAAGCATTGCCTCACCCTGGGAAGCGCAAGGGGAAGGGAATCCCTTTTCCTAGCCAGGGGAACTGAGACACACAACACCTGGAAAATCGGGTAACTCCCACCCCAATTGCTGACTTTAAGCGAACAGGCACACCAGGAGATCATATCCCACACCTGGCCCGCGGAGGGTCCCACACCACGGAGCCCTCCCTCATTGCTACACAGCAGTCTGTGATCTACTGCAAGGCAGCAGCGAGGCTGGGGAGGGCGCCGCCATTGCTGAAGGCCTTAAGTAGGTAAAACCAAAGCTGCTGGGAAGCTCGAACTGGGTGGAGCTCACAGCAGCTCAGGAAACCTGCCTGTCTCTGTAGACCTCCACTCTGGGGACAGGGCACAGATACAACAAAAGCAGCAGAATCCTCTGCAGACGCCAAACGACTTCTGTCTGACAGCTTTGAAGAGAGCAGTGGATCTCCAACACGGAGGTTAGATCTGAGAAGGACAGACTGCCTGCTCAAGTGGGTCCCTGACCCCTGAGTAGCTAATGGGAAGACATCCCCACTAGGGCAGTCTCGAAACCCCACACCAAAACTGTTAATATCTTAGTATAATATCTGTTTAGTAAAATAATGCCTCCTATGTGCCTATGTGCTTTGGTGTTTACCTCACTCAAGCAAACGGTTTTTACAAATTCTCCTTGATACTGACTTGCAGAGGGTTTCCTGACCTCCTCTTCCTCAGCACAGCCTGTCCTGTACTGTGAAGTCTTTTATACCATAACCAGTCAGAACTGCCTGTAAGTATTGACCCTCCCTAAAAGGCAATGACAATAAACCAAACATATTTTCACTCCTCTAACCACACACTGAAACACAAGAACGTTTTACAAAACAGTAGTGGTGGGCAATAATCTCTTTAGAACTTTAATAAATGTAAATGTGATTCAGATTTGCTAGCTTCCTTTAATTTAAATTACTGAAAATAATAAATACATCATGAGAATATACTACAGAGAACTAAAGAGAAACATCAATTTCATTTAAAAATACAACCTCCTGGTGCAGTGGCTCACGCTTGTAAAATCCCAGCACTTTGGGAGGCCAAAACAGGCAGATTACTGGAGCTCCTTTAGGAGTTCGAGACCAGCCTGGGCAACAAGACAAAACCCTGTCTCTACCAAAAATACAAAAAAAAAAAAAAAAAAAAACATTATCCAGGCATGCTGAAACACATTTGTGGTCCCAGCTACTCAAGAGCCTGAGGTGAGAGAATTGCTTGAGCTGAGATCATACCAATGAACTCCAGCCAAGTGACAGAGTGAAACTCAGTCTAAAAAATAGGTACCACTATCATTCTCAAAAATAAATGAAGTTGTCACTCATTCACAAGGAAATGTGTCACTCATGTCACAAGGAAAATAAGTATTTGTTTCCAAAGATAGCATTTAAGCTTTCTTGAGAACTTTGAAAAACTTGTTTCTGCTACTGTATGCTTGACAGCTTCTCAGTACTTAAAGACGTTGTAAAATAAGATGGGTGGTTAAACAAGTAATTTTTGATACAATAAAACATACATCAATATTTTCCAAATGACTAATGCATATTATAAATGCAAGTATGTGGGGAAAAAACCATTTATTTTGCAAGAAAGATCGGTGAGTACTGATGGAATACATTTGCTAATATGTAAAATGCCACTGTAACTAATTTAAGAAACTAGCACTTATGAAGCTTTGATTTAGTATTGAAGAATACCCACAATTGTCTCAAAGTTTTAAAAATACACCTTTTACCAACTACATATTTGCATGAGGCTAGGTCATCTTATTGCTTCCTTAAAGCAAATTGCAAAGAAAGAGATAGAAAATCCAGCTGCCTTCTATTAAGTTCAACACTACAGATTTTCAATAATATAAATACATGACACTATTTTACTCCATCTTTTATCATAGAAAAGTTATATTTTCATTTAAAAATTTATGTTAACAATATTGTTCTCAAGGAATATTTTCTATTGTCACAACATGGGTCATGGGTTACTACTGATATCTAGTTGGTGGAGGCCATCAATATTGCTAAACTTTCTGTAATGCACAGGACAGTCCTCACAAAGTATTATCTACCTCATAATACCAATAGTGTTAAGGTTGTGAAATCTAAACTAAAAATAGATTTTGACAAAAATCTCAATTTTATATTTCGATCACAGTAAATATCAATGTAATCAATATAAAATCATACTCACTGGGATACTCTATCATTTAAGAATTTAAAAAGTATCAAGGACCAAAGAAAACACAAATAATTTGCTTCAATATTTTAGTAGGCACAATACTACTTATGATGTCTAGAGCCAGGACGTAACACTGAGCTTGATATCATGCAAAGTAATTAGCCAGAATAACAAGACAGGTTTTAAAAATGCTCACCTTTGCTTGATATGATAATATATCGCCAAGGTCTGACTGTGGAAGGAAAAAAAATTCATAACAATAAATGTTATTTGTTAGGCTTGAAGACATTTTTAAAAACAGGGGTAGAGGAAACACTCCTAGCAGCTCTGAAATTCAAATCTTATAGTTCAGAACAGTACCATAAGGGCACTTTCTTATTTTTATTTCTTGACTTTTAGCAAAAATATGAGAACCAAAATGTAAGGTAGTACGTTTTAGAAGACATGTTTCTGTTGATGATCATAATATATAAATAATAACATATTTCCCTGTTATGTGCTCTTCTACCCATAAAATCTTTCATCCCCTGTAATTTATTTTATGCATTTATTAATTTTTTGACCCAGAGTCTCACTCTGTCACCCAGACTGGAGTGCAGTGGCGCGATCTTGGCTCACCAAAACTTCCACCTCACAAGTACAAGCAATTCTCATGCCTCAGCCCCCCAGGTAGCTGGAACTACAGGTTTGAGCCACTACGCACAGCTAATTTTTGTATTTTTAGTAGGGACAGGGTCTCACCATGATGGCCAGGTTGGTCTCAAACTCCTGGCCTCAAGTGATCTGCCTGCCTCGGAACTCCTAAAATGCTGGGAGTACAGGCATGAGCCACCGCACACAGCCTCATGCAGTTTATATCTATGTGTCCATATGTTTTCTTTTCTTTTTTATTGTACTTTAAGTTCTAGGGTACATGTGCACAATGTGCAAGTTTGTTACATATGTATACTTGTGCCATGTTGGTGTGCTGCACCCATCAACTCCCCAAAGGACTATAAATCGTGTCCATATGTTTAAGCCATACAGCAGTGTTTTCTTTTTTTAAGATGTTAGGCCCTGCGTTTTAGTTTAGTTCACTATCTCCTATAACCCATTTTTAATTATTTCCCTAAAAATACATAATGAAAGTGCTTTATAATAACATTATTTGAAATCAATTTTGCATAATTATTAAAAATATATTAGTAAACATAAGCACACAGGAAATCAATGATAGGTGCAGTGATCCTAAAATGAGCCATGCTGACAAGGCAGTGTAACAGGACACAGTCTAATGTGAATGGTAGGTACCTTCAATTAGTTTAACCAAAATATTTATGAACAGATACACCTCTTCAGATATATGTAACTGTATTCCTAAGTTACTCACAGATTCTGTGCATCACAAAACAAGAGGTTCTCTTACTTAAGTTATGTGCTTCCATTTGCCCTCGGCATCTAGAATGAGGCTCAGAATAACTGAGGGAAGGCAAATCTGAATTTTAATAATAGGTCTCTACAATATTAGCACTTTTTAAAAAGCCTGTAACATTAGCATTTAAGGTATATATTTCTATAGTGCTTCAAGTAGTTTTCATCTCTAAAATCATTTTGAAATCACAGAATTTGAAGTTATATGTTGGAAAGGACCAAGGACCACAACATTTAATCCAACATTCATTTTGCCGATCAGCAAAACAAACCCTAAAACTGACTTGCCCAAGGTCCCACCAAATAGGAGCAGTTTCTCTCAAACTTTACTGCACCTTAAAATCAACTGAGGAGCTTTAATAACTGCCTCATTTTCAACTTGAGGCTTTTTGATTTAATTAATTAGCATTGGGTAGGACTTTGGCCATCAGGGTTGTTGTTAAAAATTTCCCTGGTGATTTCAAGATGCAGCAAAGTTTGGAATGATTGAGTTGGGGTGAAAATCAGAATCTTCTGGAATGCTTTTCTTCACATAAAGATGCCTCACATCCATTCCTATTTTCCTAAAAATAGTGCCTAGAAATAGCATGTTGAGGTGGGAAGATACAAATGTTTGCAGATACGTATTTTGAAAAATAAACCTGCAAAAGTGATCCCAATGAGTTTCATCTACCCCATTGACAACAGTGTACTACTAACCTATAATAAACATTTTTTCAAAATCTTTTCTTGAAGCCAATTTGCCCTATTAATTTGCTCAATAAACCTTTATTTCACTGATAGTGAATATATCAAATGATAATTTCTCAAACTTGATGGGAAATTAAAACTTACTTTACTTTCAGAAGTAGACTTCTAAATATTAGAATAACGAGGAAAAAAGCATGAAATTTGTTTGAGCAAGATTAATGGATTAATATTTAAAACTCCTTTTAAATTGTATGCTAACACATCAAAACTTCTGAATTCAAAAGAAGCCAGGGACATGAACCAGAGTGCCTTTTTTTTTTTTTTTTTTTTCTGAAAGATTTAGAGGCTTGGCTGAATACAGACATTTAGTGATTACTCAATAGGTCCCAAAGCTTAGGACTTGATACAGGATTTGAATCCAATTTTTACTGAAACACAATTTCATCACTACTACTGTGATAAGGGAGAGAGGGAAGTGACATTATTGTGAGTGTAAACTTGCCTCTATGTTGTTGTTGTTGTTATTCATTTTAGAAACAGAGTTTCGCTCTTGTTGCCCAGGATGGAGTGCAATGGTGCGATCTCGGCTCACTGCAACCTCTGTCTCCTGGGTTCAAGCGATCCTCCTGCCTCAGCCTCCCAAGTAGGTGGAATTACAGACAGCCGCCATCACGACCAGCTAATTTTTGTATTTTTAGTAGAGACGGAGTTTTGTCATGCTAGCCAGGCTGGTCTCGAACTCCTGCACTCAAGTGATCGGCCTGCGTTGGCCTCCTGAACGGCTGGGATTACAGGCGTGAGCCACCATGCCTGGCCACCATGTTTTTTTAAATTATACTTTAAGTTCTGGGTTACATGTGCAGAAGGTGCAGGTTTGTTACATATGTATATGCGTGCCATGGTGGTTTGCTGCACCCATCAACCCATCATCTAGGTTTTAAGCCCCACGTGCATTAGGTATTTCTCCTAATGTTATTCCTCCCCTTGCCTCTGACCCCCTGACAGGCCCTGGTGTTTGAAATTCCCCTCCCTGTGTCCATGTGCTCTCATTGTTCAACATCCACTTATGAGCGAGAACATGCAGTGTTTGGTTTTCTGTTCCTGTGTTAGTTTGCTGAGAATGATGGTTTCCAGCTTCATCCATGTCCCTGCGAAGGACAGGAACTCATTCTTTTTTACAGCTGCATAGTATTCCATTGTGTATATGTAGCACATTTTCTTTATCCAGTCTATCATTGATGAGCATTTAGGTGGGTTCCAACTCTTTGCTATTGTAAATAGTGCAACAATAAACATACATGTTCATGTGTCTTCATAGTAGAATGATTTATAATCCTTTGGGTATAAACCCAATAATGGGATGGATGGGTCAAATGGTATTTCTGGTTCTAGATTCTTGAGGAATCACCACACTGTCTCCACAATGGTTGAGCTAATTTTCACTCCCACCAGCAATGTAAAAGCATTTCTATTTCTCCACTTCCTCTCCAGCATCTGTTGTTTCCTGACTTTTTAACGCTCACCATTCTAACTGACATGAGATGGTATCTCGTTGTGGTTTTGATTTACATTTCTCTAATGACCAGTGATTGATAGAGCATTTTCGTTCATAAGTTTGTTGGCTGCATAAATGTCTTCCTTTGAGAAGTGTCTGTTCATATCCTTCACTCACTTTTTCATGGGGTTGTTTTTTCTTGTAAATTTGTTTTAAGTTCCTTGTAGACTCTGGATACTAGGCCTTTGTCAGATGGATAGATTGCAAAAATTTTCTCCCGTTCTGTAGGTTGCCTGTTCACTCTGATGATAATTTCTTTTTGTCTGGTTGCTGGCAGAAGGACATCATGTGTGAATGTAAACCCCATGGCACGCATAGTAGTTTCATTAGATTACCCCACTGATCTGATAATTGGACTTATCTGTTAAGCCTGTTCGCTCTCTTTGTGGCATGTAACCCCAGCAACTTGTTATTGTGTCTACAGTATTAAAGTACAATTGCATCCGACCGTCGCTCAATGGTCATGGTGGCTCTCGACCATGTGTATCCTGCGTCGATTCTTATGTCTAGGGAGGCCATAATGTTACAAGAGTCGTGGTTCTAGAGTGGCTACTGTGCATAGTTCGGAGTCTTCAGCGTTTTACTGCGCATATCTTGAAGCATGAAATTTCTCAAAACTGTCTGTTTACATGCGTTGATCATACAAGGATACAAAGGGCTATATAGTCGCCTGGTGTTGTCTTGCTTATTGGCTTAGCGCGAGGTTTCCTAAGCATAGGCCCGATTGGAATCTGTTGATATATATGTGGGGTCCTCTTCCCTCCATTGCATTGCTTTGTATTTGTCGAGCAGGGTTGTCAGAAGAGAAGTCGACATCAGTATGATGAAATTGCTCAAGGAGAGGTCGATGTTGGTTGTTCTCGAGTGGAGCCGTCCGCTAGTTACATGGTGTCATCACCACTTTTGGCACCTCGCATCCCATAGGGTCAATGTTCTTAAGGTACCTCTGTCCATGCTGTTTTGGCTATTGTAGCCTGTGGTATAGTTTGAGAGTAGGTAGCGGTGATGCTCCGCTTTGTTCTTTTTGATTAGGAATTTTCTTGGCGCTAATCGAGCTTCCCATTAACGATTTATAGTAGTATTTCTAATTCTGTGAAGAAAGTCAGTGGTAGCTTGATGGAAATAGCATTGAATCTATGTATTACTTTGGCCAGTGTGGCCATTTTCATGATAGTGATTCTTCCTATCCATAAGCATGGAATATTTTTCTATTTGTTTATATCCTCTCTTATTTCCTTGAGCATGTTTTATAGTTCTCCTTGAAGAGGTCCTTCATGTCCCTTTTAAAATGTATTCCTAGGTATTTTATTCTCTTTGTAACAACCGTGAATGGGAGTTCACTCATGAATTGACTCTCTGTCTGTTATTGGTGTATAGGAATTGTGGTGATTTTTGCACATTAATTTTGTATCCTGAGACTTTACTGAAGTTGCTTATCAGCTTAAGGAGTTTTTGAGCTGAGACGTTGGGGTTTTCTAAATATATAATCATATCATCTGCAAATAGAGACAATTTGACTTCCTCTCTTGCTATTCAAATACGCTTTATTTCTTTCTCTTGCCTGATTGTCCTGGCCA